GGACTTTAATTAAGCCCAAAAGCCTTAGGAAAACATTCGTCATGATCTTTTCGTCAGATTGCACCAACGCGTCCGGGACACCAATTTTGGTAGAAAGAGACACCCATATTGCCATATTTTTGGCACGAGAAAATTGGCACAGAAATCGATGAATTTGTCAAAATGACTTCCGACGATAAAACAGACCGCGCCAGCGCGTCCGGAACTTCAAAATTACCTAAAAATGATATCAATTTTGCTATGTTTTGATGCATGGGTGAAACACAAATCAAAATTTTATTTTTCAAAATATTAAATATTTTCTTTTATATAAGTATCCTTAAATCATATTCATATTAAACCTAAATCTTATTTAGGTTCTCACCCGCTCCCTTTAACAAACATTAGAAATTCTAACCAATTCCTATTTTCCTTTGATGTCTAACATTTATGGCATAAGACCATCGTCTTACGAACAAGCGGTTATGGGCTAGGTTATGGGCTATTTTGTGAATTATGGGCTATTTTGTGAAGACTTAAAGAAAAAGTTTCTAATAGAACTCCAAGCCTTAGGAAAACATTCGTCATGACCTTTTTGTCACATACACACACCAAATGCACAAAATTCACAAAATTGCACGAAATCGGACTTCCATTTAGCCTAAAGGACGGGTGAAAAAGCGAACGAAGCCTTAGGAAAACATTCGTCATGACCTTTTCGTCACATACACACACCAAATGCACAAAATTCACTGAATTGCACGAAATCGGACTTTAATTAAGCCCAGAGGACGGATGAAAATGCAAACTTTTCCAGATGACCTCCGACGACAAAATGGACTGCGCCAATGCGTCTGGGCTACCAATTTTGGCAAAAAGGGACACTCATATTGTCATATTTTCGACACAAGAAAATTGACATGCGAATCGATGAATTCGTCAAAACGACCTCTGACGGCAAAACAGACAGCGCCGGTGCATCCGGAAAGTCGAAATTACCTAGGGAGGACACACATTTTGCTAAGGCGCCGCACATGGATAAATCGAGTGACATTTGATATATATATATATAT